GGCTACGGAATGTTGCTAAAATAACCGACCGGGCACCTGTCAAGAGTCTCGAGCCACAACTAGACTTACGTATTAACATGACCCCATATGAATGTGTGTCCATTCTTACAATTGTAAGCGTTTTAGGGCATAGATACATGCGCACTCCAAACGAAAAGCTGCGTTTGGCGCCTACGGTGTCGCATCCCACGCAGCCGGGGAGGGTAGCTCTCATCGCTTGGAGCGACTCTGCTCGCTGCACAGCCCCCGTGATCGAGGAGAATGAAATCGAGGACTTGGTGTCCTGTCGCCAGGTGCCGAGACACAGCGACACGCATGCAACGCCGCGGTCAGAAAGTGTCAGTCTAGCAAAGGGAGGTGGCGGCGTAGCATTGTAACGCACAAGATCAGTCCGATTTCCAAGTTCGGAGATCTTCTGTGGCAGAAGGGTGGGAGTAATATTGCCTGTTCAACTGGCCTAGTGGGGGGGGGGGGGGGGGGGCTAGTAGGGGGCTCGGGCACAAGCAATACGCTCTGTTTCGAATGTACCCCGAGCTTGATATCATCTGAACCGAGTGATACCCATGCACAATCATTCAGAATGAATTATAGAAAAAATAATGGGTGGCAGCCATACCAAATTCCTGCATCAAGACAAAGGATCAAAAGACAGATGCTATGCCGCATGCCCCGGCTCTGCTCTGTGCCGTCTCATTTCAACATCGCAGGATCCTGGAACTGGACTCGTGCAAGACTCAATGTTTTTTAGTCGGCTCAGGACTGGCTTACCGATTTTGGGATCCGCTTTAGCTCATAACTCACAGCCGTTTCAATATTTTTTATTCAAATAAGTTTAGACTAATTGGTTGCATCGAATCATCTGACTCATGACTCACCAAGCTTGCAAAATCGAAAGATCCTATTCAATTCTGGCTCGTTTATCATCGCTTGTATGCATATATATTCATATCTTATAAATCCTGGCTGGGATTTCTAAAACTAAGTTTAGCATTACCAATAGCGATTGCCGCTTAGCAACTACGGTTACAAAACTATGTGCTGATACTGTGAAAATCTTCATAACTAATGCTGCATGATGTTCATTTGAACGCTCTGAAATTATAGATGAATTTGTCAACGGCACGCTTTGTTTCCTTGTCACCATTTTAATTTCAGCCATGTGCCTCCCTGACACAATATTGTCCAAAGCGATTGATTGGCCCCCGATTTAGCTCATAAAAATTGCGAAGAATGTGGCTCAGCTCATGACTCAAAGCAGCATTTTTCAAGTGAGCCGACTTATCTCACGACTCACACAAAAAAATTGACCCATGACCTGATTCATGATTCAGCTAGAGTTGAACGCATGTCTGCCTCAAACAGGTTATGATTAGAACCATGCCTTCGGCAAAAACTCCCCACAGCTCACATTATGTCCTCATAATTTATTCACTCAGCACGCAGCCGAAAGCCGTGTCTTGTGAGCCGATATCAACGGAGATGACAAACATTAGTCCTATTGATTACGGCTCACCGTACGAAAATGTCTCGTAAAGTTTGGGACGCAAATCAAGCACGCAATCATAAACGCTTTTAACTGCCTCATCAACCGCCCGATACTCAAACCATGGGGTCAAATCGTGGCAGACATAATTTCATATCTGACAGGATAGTAAATCTCGTGCACCCAACACAAATTGTGGGTGTTGTTGTTCATTGGTGTCTTCGGGCACGTCGACTGCATTGGTCATTTTGCGCCCATAACTATGCTGCTACTTAATTAGTACGGCGTGAAAATGACTTGAAAATCAATATCTTTTAAAAACGAAAAGAGCTGTTTGGGATCAAGAAAGGAGGAACTGTCACCGAGCACATCGCTAATCGTCAGGGTCGAAGCCTGCGGACCAAAGTGACGTCGTCGTTCTTCGATGAGGCATGGACATGATATAATGACATGATGGACGGTAAGGACGACACCACACCGCTGGCATAGGGGTCTGTCGGCTCCATGCAACAGATGGCCATGGGTGGCATACGTATGCCCAATGCGCAGCCTGCATAAAACCACCTCTTCCCACCGCACACTGCGAGAGCATGACGACCACAAGCCCAACTCTATTTTTATCGCCCCGAGCTTATTGTCACCCACCTGGTCCCAACAACGCTGCAATTTGCTTCTCAGGAAGGTCTCGACTGCCGGGTAAAAATCTCTGGCAGGGATAGGCAAAAACCAGGTATATGGTGCCACCGCTGCTCGCTTAGCAGCGGCATCAGCCAGCTCGTTGCCCACGATACCGACGTGACTGGGGACCCAGCACAGCGCAACTCTCTTTCCAACCCGGTTCAACTGTGTCAGGCGTGATAAAATGTCCTGTACAAGGGGACATGATGAATAAAAAGACTTCAGTGCAGAGAGACCGCTCAGTGAATCTGTAAAAATGGCGTGTGACGATTCTTCACCCACTTCTATGAAACATATCGCCTTGGTGATTGCAACTAATTCCGCCGTGAAAACTGACGAGTGGGCCGGTAACGAGAACGATCGAATGACGGAACCGCTGACGAAAGCACAACCCACGCCATCCGAGGTTTTGGATCCGTCTGTGTATGTCAGGGTATATCCTTCGTAACACGCCAAAAGCTCAACTGCCCCGGATCTCCAGCAAATGTATACCTTCATTCTCCTGGTTTTCCCCGAAGAATAAAGCTATTACTGCTGTCTTATTTATGCGAATAATGTTCCTCACAAATGCACCTAACAACTCACATAATCGTCCAGCTTCTGTTCATCTATGTGAATAATGCTCCTCGCAAATGCACTTAACAACTTACATAACCGTCCGCTACTGCATCCCACCATCCACCGTCGCATACTTTTAAAGGAAATGTTCCACATTTAAAGCATCGAGGATATGATCACCAAATATGATGAAAAAAGGTTACTTACAGCTATTGGAACACCTGTACTCGCAAAAGGCGGCTCTAGCCATACGATTTCACAATTTTGAAATTATACGCCTAAACACATCGTTACGTTTACATGACGTCAGAGAGGCTGCCAAACTGGCCGTGCAAAATTGACACCGTATCCGTTGCGAAACGGACGGGCTGACTCACCTGTAATAGTTCCATTTCTCGACAATGTTGTGCTAAGGGGAGCGGCGCTTCCAGAACCCAAAAGGACGTATTGCGCGCGCGCGCTTCGTCCCTTCTTTAAAGATTCAATCCGAGCCTTTTAAATGGAAGAATTTCTGTGATCAGAGCTCACGCCGAGCAGTGCTTGTTGTGTGAGCCTCAGCCCTACTATACGATCGCGCAATTCCATGTTGGCAGCAAACTTTGGTGGCGAAAGCTTACAGGGAGTGTTTCACATTTATGTGGGGGTTTGAACTGAAATAACCATCTTGAGGACATTTTCATGCTGTACACAACCCTGCTTTCCTTAAGAGTTAAGCCCCTCTTGTTTCTGAGCTACACGGTCGCAAAAATGGGGAGAGTAATTCGGGGAGAGTATTCCAAAGCCACCTTGGCATTCATGACGTCATCAGCGTCATTGAAATCCTACATTTCTCTTAGTCATGCGGCGATTAAGGCCAATACAAATACAATTGCTGAGGCGTTCATATCTGGCATTCATGAGCACGATTTCCTGCTATAAAGGCCGTCAATTGGCTCTCGATCAATGTTGTACAAGGTCATAAGGGAGCCAATACACCAGTAGTCATAATGGAGCTTGTTCCATCCTATCTGATGCTTGCTGCAACACCCACAAATGTGGAGCATTTCCTTTAATTCAAACCTTTGAAGCGGATTAGTTTTTGGGATCACAGCTCACGCTAAGCAGCGCTTGTCGCGTGAGCCTTGACCCCTACCATCAGCTCGTGCAATTTCAGGTCAACGGCAGAATATGGGGGCGAAAGTTTAAGATGCCACAATGTTCGGCGAAGTCCGCCCAGCCCTCTGACCTGTACCGCGGCCGCTGGCACCGGCCGTAGGCTGTACCTGTCAAGAGCGAATAACAAGCGCCTTGAGTGACTCGAACCTATCCCGCGACTGGTGGAAGGATCGAAATGCGGGTGCTCTAGCCAGCTGAGCTATCGAGACGAAAAAGTGGATTGGTTAAAGTCGTATCAATTGATCGTAGGTTGCCAATTTATCAAATGAGGAAGACGTGCTACCGTTAAGTGTGTCGTGAGTACAGTACAGATTTATCAAATGGTGAAATAGTGTTGAGGAAATAGCGCTGTACCACAAAGCGTGTTACCTGTATCTTCCAATGTACAGCATTGTTTTTTGTTTAGGCGGCGTATGCTTTGATTTGAACAATATCTCAAATAAAGGACCTGAAGTTGCAGAGACCAGTATGATCTTATCGTACGATTATTTTGGGGTAATCAAAAATATCATTACTTGGGGTACGGAAACTAAAGGGGCCAGATTCCTGTGCCCAGAAAACTGGCGACAACTTGGTATCAGCCACATGGGAAGTTACCAAGTGTACACACACACACACGCACGCACGCACGCACGCACGCACGCACACACGCACACACGCACACACACACACACACACACACACACACACACACACACACACACACACACACACAACACACACACACACACACACACATATATATATATATATATATATATATATATATATATATATATATATATATATATATATATATATACACCGACGGATGGCTACATGAATCTGTACGTAGCTTTGCATTAAGTCCTAGAACATCAGCCTCATGAGTGTCCTTTGCGCATACTATGAATCAAACCGCGAAGTGGTTGAATTACTTAAAAAGTGTCCGTTCCGACATCAGACTTCCATGCTTTTACGTTTCCTGTTTCTAATTTACACATTCTATCAAAAAATGACTTCGAAACACTGTTCCATCCTATAACATCTTCTATTTCTACTTCCCGACATACCAAATCACCTGCCACCCCTTTGGCCTGACGTGCCACCTATCCTTCGACTCATCACAGTCCACGGGTTACCTCACCTTCCATTCCTTGGGGTCGAGTGTGCGCAGGAAGCCGATGTCGTCCTCGAGCGCGAGCTCGCTGGCCGAGTCGTCCTCGGGCTCGAGCTCAGCCGCTGCCTCCGAGTCGCCGAGGCAGTGCGAGTTGGCGCGCGCCGAGCAGAACTGCTGGTACCGGCCGCCCACCGGCTCCACCTCGACCAGGTCGTATTCTGTGGGCGACGCGGGCGGCGGTCGGTCGGGTGGCGCCGGCGGCGGGGCGGACGACCGGCGCCCGTGAGCGAGCGGACACGGACCGGCTCCGATCTCGACTGCTGTGCACGCACCACCCACCCACCCACGCACACACGAGGTCGACGGCAGCAGCTGCGACAGGTGAACCGGTAAGGCGTGTTAGTGTTGTGAAATGGTGCGTAACGACCATGTGAAGCTTCGGTGATATTCGCATTCGTCCGAAATATGAGTAGTTTAACCCATAACGTGGCACATGCCGTAAGCGAGAGTTTATGCTGTGAATACCGAAAATAGCAGTGCCAACAAACCATAATCATGATATGCCCGCGTATGTGATATGCATGCTAGGACTAAATGGTGGCAGAGATCAATGATATAAGGTTTTGGTGTTATACTATTCCTCAGCGGTGCCAAGCCGTTAAAGGGAAAAAAGGAAACTCCGCTTAATCCATTTGAGTCGTCAAGGATTACGAGATTTTCCGGGACGTAGTTCCTAGTATGGAAACCTAGTTACCACCCAGCGTCGCAATCGACTGGTAATCTCGTGGAAGACGAAAGCGAAGCCTGCATCGCATATCACGGCACACATGCGGTTACATGATGTTTGCTGGCTCTGACGGCATGCTACCATTCTGCAGTCTACTAGGCACAAAAATAATCGCAAACTTGCACCACGAGCGCGTTCTCGCTCAGCCCCACCATACTTTGAACAGAACGTCCATGCGACACTTATGTTTGCCTTCATTTAATGTCCCGAAAATAATGTATGGGCTAATACATCTAATGTGCGTTTTCACCACGCCAAATTTTTCTCAATACATCAGAAGAACATGCCAAACCATTCCACACAGTAATTCATGATCTATTTTGTCGCTATGTAGTATGCAGATCCGATCACTTTAAGCTAAACCAACCTTCCCAAAAACCTGTTAAGTTTAATTCGAAGAGATTTGTTATTCATTTTGCTGCCTTCGGTACCTCTGCTTTATTTTGGACTGACTCCGCACATTCTAATGATTCTGCCAAGTTTTGGTTTTGGCATGGACCGTCGGGCAGCGGGTGAGTGATAGTGGCTCAGCTAATGGAAAGTTTTGGTCTATAGCGTTATGGACAGAAATAAAGCGCAAAATGACAATATTTTAGCTGTTGGGGATATGTTCGGTCTGCAAAGCTGGTCATGAAATCCGACTTATATGCTTGTTGCAAGAAACAATCAGAACGTTTGTTTTTTTGTAAGCCAAATCAATTTAATTATGGCCGGATAATTCGGTGAAAACGTCCGGCCTAGTGCTGTCCGGGCTGCAGTACACCGTGCGGGGCACTCGCTACGCATGCTATAACTGCAATACATCCGTTTGAAACGGAGGTGATTGCGCCTCAAAACATGACTGTTTTCGTATTAACAGGTTTAGAGTTTTAAGCCTTTCAGCTAGCACACGGTTTTCAAAGGTTACTTTGGGACCACTTCTCACGGGGTTCATGTTTTTTTTTCACGTATTTGTTTAGCCTGACATTTGAATACATTCAACCCAGCCATACTTATCACTTACCACTTACCTATTACACTGTCTACTGATCACTATTATTCTATTACGATCGCCATTACGTGTGGTCCCCTATGTCCGGCCAGTTTTGGCAACTGATTTCGTTAGCGAATGGTATGGACAGCTACCCGTTGGGCAACTTATTATATGCAGGTTAGTCAGCAACAGCACCCAGCCGCATTATCAACACCCCTTTCGCCATTCGATGGATCTTGTTTTTTGAAAACGCCTTGTTTAGACCGTGCTTTTACCCTCAAGAATTAAAACCGGAAAGACTTCAGTGCAGCATACTCATATTACCAGGCATCACAATGGACAGAGAACAGTGTTCAAGGCTTTGATAGGCTGTTAGCATCTCGCCCGGCATATGAACTGCACGTATACTGCAACGGCAAATATGGTTGCTAGCGAGCTTTGTGGCCCCACTAAACCACAGACAAGTCGAAACCCTAGTCTGATTGAATATGAATTGCCGTTTAACCCCGCGTAAAGTGCGCTTCGTCTACAACAGTTGCGGATCTAGCCTTCGGCGACGAAACATGTCAGCAACGCCACGCCAAATAGAGCTGATAAGTGCTGGTCGTCAATGTGCTTCCATTATGACACCTACCAAACGTCACATTTGTGAGATTTTCCTTTCTGTAGCATTTGGCTGGTCACATTGCACACGGGATGCATATGTCGGTGTGAGCAGCAATATATCTTGCGCAACCATGCATATTTTTGGCTTCCACAAAAGGTTGCAGGCAATGTTTCGTGTGCGCTGGAAAATGCAACAATGCGCGTGCATTCAGGAGCGCATGCAGGCGACCATTAACCGCTAGGTCCGTACAGAAGCATCATGGCTGCACCACAGAGCAATAGCAACATGCGGATCGATTTCACTCATTTTAAGTGGGCATAATGGAAAGCCTGGTCTGTCGAGCCACACATCGACCCGTCTGTAGCACAGCTTCTTACCGTCATCACCATTGGCGGCAATGTGCCAGCAATCAGTTCGCGAATACGCATAGAACATTTGCTGCCCACGGCCACGGGAACAATGACGCGCCAATGACACCCCACGCGAATGCCGAAGGCGCATGCGGGACGACCGTGGGGACTTGCCCCAACGCAAGCAATCCTCTCATATTTTCAACCCACACGCGGCCAAGCGGACCCCATGGAATGCCTGGTGAACTGAAGCACGCCTGCCGCGGGCCTTCTAAATCACCATCATGGACAGCAACGGGCTAGCACAGTAACAGCCCTCGACGCCGAAACATTCGCCATCCATGGCAACAGAAACAGGACCATGCCACGGGCACTACGTACGACATCGCGCTGGAAGACCATACGAAAGACCATGAGCTCTGCTCAGCGTCAACGGTGATCACACATATTCAGTTAACGAGGCCAGCGATAAGCAGACCTGACTGGACAAACTAGAGAGTTCTGAAGCACGTCTGTAATTCGTCAAGGCTGTGTGGCTACCGCTAGCTACTGGAAGGTGAACAGCCTGACAACCGCTGATGGTCGCGGGGTAATTCTGACCTCGCTGGATGCGGGTTGAATAGCAGCCTGACCGCCGCTAGCTGTGGGTTGAATAGCAGCATGACTGCCGCTAGCTGTGGGTTGAATAGCAGCCTGACCGCCGCTAGCTGTGGGAGCTGTGGGTTGAATAGCAGCCTGACCGCCGCTAGCTGTGGGTTGAATAGCAGCATGACTGCCGCTAGCTGTGGGTTGAGTAGCAGCCTGACCGCCGCTAGCTGTGGGAGCTGTGGGGTGAATAGCAGCCTGACTGCCGCTAGCTGTGGGTCGAATAGCAGCCTGACCACCGCTAGCCGTCGCGTGGTCACAACCTCATAACCGCTGAATGTCGGCAGGACAACAGACGGGCCTTTTTCTTTCGCTGACTGTCGGACGGCTCAGTCAGACTACCTGTGACTGTCCGCAGACCGAGTCGTACCGTCGTTGACTGCAGCAGAATGACAGTGTAGCCATCGTCGACTCTCCGCAGATTCACAGCCTGACCACAGCAGACTGTCACAAGGCATGTCCGGCTCTCGCCGACTGTTAGCATAAGAGGTCTGACCGCCACTAACTTTCGGCAGGTCGCCGCAACCACGCACGATGTCGCCACTGCTGCTGGCTCTGCTCTGTCTCGGCCCCACCGCCGCCCAGCTGTACATCCGGCGTGTTGCGACGCGCGCCACATCTCCGCTACGCGCCCACGCGGCGCTCAGTCCGGTGGGCTGCGGCACAGCGTGCGTGCGCACTGCCGGCTGCGCGCACTGGCACGTGCCGGCCGCCGGCGGCGCGTGCCTGCTGTGGGCGGCGCCGGCCACCGACAACCCCGCCGTCTCCAGCACGGACACCGTGTACGAGCTCGTCACACCGCCGCCGCCGCCGACGACGACGCCGCAGATGACGACGACAACGACCACGGCACCAACGACGACCACACCAACGACGGCGCCGCCGACGGCGGCCGCAGTGCCGGCCTGCTACAGCGCGCAGGCGGAAGGTGTGGCGTTCTGCCTGCACGCGACGCCGACGGGACCGCTTGAAGGCGTGGCCGGTCTGTGCCAGCAGGACGACGCGCGCGCTGAGCCCGCCTACCCCGACTCGGACGCCAAGGTGGCGCTGCTGCGTCAGGAGACGGCGCCGTTGGGCACGGAGCGCTTCTGGATCGGTCCGCGCTCGACGCAGCAGCCGACCGTGTTCGTGGACGGGCGCGGCGAGCGCCAAGTCACCGTGAGCAGCGCCTGGATGTACGACGGGAACACGCCGTTTTCTACTGGATGCGCGCGCTTCCAGGCCGGCCAGGGCCTTATCGTCCGGCCCTTGCAACATGGGCTGGTACGGCTACATCTGCGAGATCCGCCTCTGAGCTGCCCCCGGCTGGCGGGACATATGCAAGATCCGCCCCTGAGCTGCCCCGGCTGGCGGGACATCTGCGAGATCCGCCTCTGAGCCGCCCCGGCCGGCGGGCCTCTCTGGGAGCCGCGAAAAAAAAAAACAACAATAAATTGCTGCTATTAGCTTGCTTGGACCAATTTGAGTCCGAGGGCAGACTTGGGACATGTCAGAGTGAGCTGAGGCCAGCAGTGGCATTTCGCGGAATTTGCCACGTGGCTTGCCTGTCGGCCCAGCAGTGGCATGTCGCGGGGTTTGTCAGGTGGCTTGCTTGCCGGGTCAGCAGTGGCATGTCGCGGGATTTGTCAGGTGGTTGCTTGTCGGGTAAATGTCTGGTGAGTCGAGGTATTCGAAACCAGCCTAGCCAGGACTCAACCGCGACACCCACCTAGTGAAAACAACGGCAGCGTATTCGTTGAGAGGTGATCGATTGTAGCAGAGCATGCAGGGAAATGATCGAGTATAGTGCTGGAAAACTGACCTACAGCTGGATTTGCTCTATCTGGTCAGCCCACTGTTTTGAGGACTATTGTACG